GCTGGTGAATTTATTTTGTTTTTGTGATACTTAAAATTTTGTGTATGTTGTATTTCTAAGACTTGAATTGCAACTTTTTTTTGTTTCTAAATTATTGTTTGAGGATGGATGGGCAACGAGTATTGAGCCTGACCTGAGTCAATACTTTCTGCCAACATGAGGCATCTGCGTAAAATGGATTCAGTTTCACCTTTTGTTGTATTTGAGAATGCAGAACATTGGCACCAAATGCAATTGTTCTATGCCCCTTGAGAATTTGTAGAAAGAAATGTTCTCTGCTACGTCTAAGTTAAAGTCTGTATATTTTGAAGTAATGTAGTTGAAAGGGGGGAGGGTGCAACAATTCCATCATCTTGCACATTCAGCTTTTGTGAAATGAACTTGATGAAAGGAAACTTTTTAAGGCAAGCATCAAAAAAAGAATTTATGCAGAATCAGAGGCCTTGAACACACACTTGAAGCACAAAATAAACCTGCAACCAACTGGTGGAAGATATTTGGCTCAACTGACTGAACAGTGCCAGCTAACGTTTATTGCCCAGTGTATGCCTTGGATTGGGTTCTGAGCTGCTGATTAGTTGACTTGAAGTGAGATTTCAGTCTTCAGTCTGGTGGCCAGCTCTGGATTCGGTGTGCTCCAAAAGACCAGAAGAACCTGCACATCACTCTATTAATACACTGTAAGTATATAGAAAGTGTAAGACAAAGGAAACTCAACTATTTATCTTCAGGTGAAAACTTATGCTAAACAGTCAGACCTATCTATGATTAAAGATATTGCATGTGATTGTTTCTTGGTTTAACTATTATTGGCGCAATGATCAGAATCAATTTCTGTATTTCTTTGCAATAGATAGTCTTTACAAATGCTTAAATGTTTAGATACTAAATTTTAATTTCTGTACTGAATTTTGCTGAAGTATGTAACAAATTCCTGTGTCACATTTAGTCACATTAGCAACTAATAACAAAAATAGAAAACTTTGAAAACGCTCAGTCAATGACATTCTTTGACGGCGAGATGAGTTAACATTTCAGCACTGGATTCTTGCTTGGAAGCTGTCATGGGCCCAGGCCTGAAAGTTAACTGTCTGTTTACTTTACCTCTTGCCTGAACTGATCACCTTCAATATTGTTTCCTGCTGGCATTGCAGGTTTCCACATTACTGTTTTTTTTTATTTGAAGAACGTTTGAAGTGGTATCAAAGTTTTCAAAATGATTTAATTCTCATTATTGAAAATATTCTGTCTAATGGCAAAATGACGAATATTTGAGATACAGGAATTGAAATATAGAACAAAAACTGGCACAATTCATAATTGCTTGTTTTTCAGTAAAGCAAAATAGTAGCCATGTGAAATTCTGTGTTTACTTGAACTTTCACAACAACCCTGTGTCTAGGAAGAAAATTTGACTTTGCTGGACTGTCTCTAATATTTATCGTGTGGTCCATTTGAATTAATTCACAATAATGCACAAATAACACACTGAGAAATATTTCTTGTTTCCCATAATCTAGTTTGTTTGTTTGTGATCATTTGGGATGGTCGAGATTTCATTCAGATTTTGAACAATTTAAAGAATTTGAGAGAAAATGTTCTTATAATAGAACAAATGATAGGAAAAGCGCACAATTGGCTACCTTATTATTTACAGTGGCCATAAAAATAGTAATTAAATGCCACAGCATTTATTTATGAGGGCATTGATGGAAAGTTGGCATTTATTGTCCAGTTCCATTTGCTTTGAAGTTGGTGGTGAACTGCCTATAATTGAGTGGCATGCTAGATTCTTATGAGGATTCTTAAGAGTATTATGTTGCTCCGGGTCTGAAGCCACATATCACCAGGCCAGGTAAGGATGGCAGATTTCCTTTTCCCAAGGATATGGGTGACCCAGATATTTAATAAAACTTTTGATGGTTTCTTGACCATTACTTTATTCCAGATTTGCTTTATTATTTGAATTTAATTCCCCGACCATAGTGGCATTTAAGCTTCTGGTTCCAGATTATTAGTTTGGATAACTAGTCTAGCAGCATAATGACTAAATTATTGTAATCCTGAAGGTTGTTCAGTTTCATTTGGCTGGAAGGCTATTTTGTGATGCAGTGTGATGCTGGCAGCGCTGGTTAGATTCCTGAACTGGATGAGGCCTTTATAAAGGATTCTTCTCAACCTTGCCCTTTACCTGAGATGTGGTGACTCTCTGGATAAACTCACCACCATTCATCCCTAATGAGAGAGCAGCTTTCTGGTGCTCTCGGACTATGGCAACTTTATAACCTTAATCCTGACATTGGCTGAACGTAGTTTCTGGTTCTGTGAGAAATGTCCCTGTAATACCTAGAAAGGTAGTGTGAAATCTGTTTTAATGAAAGTGGGTGCAAGGAGAGGTAATTTGTAAATAAAGCTTGATTTATAAGGAAATTGTATGGTGTTTCTAGTTTGAATTGCTGCCCTGTTTGTTTGCTACAGCTGGTAATGATCAAAATAAAATGGTTTCTGAGAAAGTGGAACAAAGGCAGGTGTCTGCTCAAGGTCATGATTTTTGGCACACCTCCTTTGTACGTGAAAATCTGACACTTAGCTTTTCGTGGGTGAAGAAATTTAGATGTTAGTGTGTTAATGTAGCACTTAAATCTGCAGTGTTATGTAGCCATACAAGTTTATTCATAGGAAAACTAAGCGGTTATGGTGTTTTTTAAAACAATGCTGGGGTGGAGGGTAGAAGGGCAATATTTGGCACAAAGGAGAAAACCTGCTGCCTTAGAGGAAAAATGCACAGCTTTTGGTCCCTTTCGAATTTCAAGAAAATGACTAGCGCTAACTACGCAAGAAGTGTAGTCAGAGGCAAGGTGAGAGCTTCTGATTAGGCTTGCAAGAACCATGAAGGAGCTATTGGAGTGGAAAACAAATTTTCACTGTATTTAAGGGAGACAAAAATGATTCACGCATAGAAGAGTGTTAGGAGAGGGTGTTGGAGATTTAAAGCTTTTGTAGTGCGGTTTGGAGAAATTTTCTGAAGATGGAGTGAAGGATAGAATAAGAGTTGAAAATGTTGCTGTAGTGGAACATCTCGAAGATACAAGCTTGGTAGTTAAATGTATCATTTTGAGGGCGATCATGTAAACAACTGGATTGGAAGTGATGGTCTCTGCTCTTGTCTGAGAAAATGACGACAGTTGATCACAAGTGCAAAGCAATTTCTCATTAATTTGCTATTACATTTTTTTTTAATGTTACTGTTTTTTTTGATACCTTGTTAATTGAAATACACTTCTAAATTCAGGTAGTACTTGAAAATTATTTACTGTGAAGCAGTTCTGATGATAAAGTTTCTCACCCCTTTCTGTTGACCCATAGCTAACTAAGCAAGCTGAGTTGAAAGAACCCTCGCCCTTGAGTCAAGGTTGAGTTCAGGCCTCCCTCAGACTTGATTGCAATTTAGGCCAGTACTTCAGTGCAGAATTGAAGTCGGCTGCATTGTTCAGGATACTGTTACTCAGTTGAGAAATAATATGAACACCCTGGCTATCCAACTGTATGTATAGATCTTATGATATCTTAAGTGCATGGTTTCCACACTTCTCTGGCTACATTTCTCCCTCAACCTGCAGCAATAAAAATAATTATGTCCAGTCATCTGATTTGTTTGCGATCTTACCTTGCTGCCATATTTTCCTATATGCAAGATTAATTGGTCATGAAATATTTTGTGTCCTGAAGATCCGCTGAGGATGTAAATGTGTCACTTATTGCCTTCTGTTTTACCTACTCCTGGTTCTTCCTTCCCGTTACCAAATGGCCTTGCCTTCGTTCTGTGGTTTGGTGTTCTAAATTAAATTTGTTTACTTCAATATTTTTTTGCACTAGAATTAGCAAAGGAATAAAGTTTATAAAATCACGAGTGGTATAGATAAGGTAAATAGCAAAGGCCTTTTCCCTCAGATGGGGAAGTTCAAAACTAGGGAGCATATTTTTAAGGTGAGAGGGGAGATTGAAAAAGGACACGAGGGGCAACTGTTTTTATATACAGTGGTTAGTGTGTGGAATGAACTGCCAGAGGAAGTGGTGGATGCAGGTACAGTTACAGCATTTAAAACCCATTTGGATAAGTAAATAATTAGGAAAGATTTGGAATGAGGTGGGACTAGTTTAGTTTGGGAACATGGTCGGTGTGGACTAGTTAGACTGAAGGGTCTATTTTCCATGCTCTATGACTCTAGATTGCTGATGGTAGACTGTAATTCTTGGGTATATGATGCATTTGTAGCTACTGTTCAAAAGAATGTTCATTACAGTCAGTAGCAACATAGGCATTGAAAGGAATAGCTTATTACTATCTGGATAAATACACATGAATGTGTTCAGTAATGTGTTTGCTCTGTTTCGAACAGGAATAGTTCTGCATTTATAGTACTTCACCAGTATTGATAGCCAAATATTTGGAACAACTTGAAATAAAACTTTATTATTCATACTCAAATGAAAATTTAAACAAGATAATACTTGATGGTTCTTGTGTATGTATTATCTGCTTTTGTATGAAAAAATAAGAAGATTTCATAGCAAACACAGTGATTGATTGGTATGTGTAAATTTGGAAATTTTTATAGACTAGAAAACTTACATGGGACCCAATGTGTGTTTTGTCCTTTTTATTCCTGCAACTACTGTACATAAATAACACAAGAAAATTATCACTGATGTATGCTAGGCAGGAGAATAATAGGACTTCTATTTTAAGGGATTTCTGTGTGTTGTAAATACTATGTGAATCTGTATTCTTTGCCACAAGTTGTTACCAATTCATTTTCCCAAATTTTCTGAAATTTGACTTTCTATAAAATATGTTTTTAAAAAAAAACTTTAAATTTATGCAGATTTTCTTTGCATAGAAAAAAAATGTAAAGTATCTTTTCTATGGTACTAATCGTTTAAATGTAATGTCTTCAAGTATAAATAGTCTGTTTTCAACAGTTTTTCTCTTTTGCCAGAATTGCTAAGAAAATGCTGCTAGCTGAAATAAATGCAAATTTGTCATCTAATGATGATAAGTCTTCAGAAGAGGAATCTGAAGAAGAAAAGAAGAAATCCGACCCAAAAAGTGCAGCAGAAGAAGATGAAAATGGTAAGGAGAAGCAGGATTTCTTTAC